TGTGCAGCTGAACCCAGGTGTGTGTCCTCAGGTGTCCAGAGCGTGGAGCGTAGATGTGATGCGGTTCTTCTTGGACCGCGGATCGGATCCGCTGGGCTCGGATCAGTTCGGAGTCACAGCGCTGCATGTGGCCTCGGCCCTGGACTACGAGGACATGGTCCAGTTCCTGCTGGACCGGGAAGGTCGGTGGATCCAGGTAGAGGAAGGGGTTCTGGTGGTGAAGATCTGGTACCAGCCCTGTGTGTTCTGTTGTCAGCCGACCCGAGTGCCCAGACTTTTCTGGACCAGCAGACCCCTCTTCACTATGCCGCCAAGAACGACGCGGTCCGATCTATCAAGCTGCTGCTGCGCGCCGGCGCCAACATCGGCTGCACCGACTACAAGCAGCGGACGCCGCTGCAGCTCGCAGCCAGCATGGGTGATCATTACATCACATTATGACATCATAGATAGATAATGACATCATGAGTGACATAATCAGTTCCTCTACTTCCAGAGCGCAGTGAAGCAGCTCAGGTCCTACTGGAGCTTGGAGCGAACGCTGGGGTGAAGGACTCTGACGGACAGCTGTGCATCTCTGCTCTGATTGGTCGGATGAGTCATGTGGTAACTAATGCATGCCCCTTGACACAGAGCATTGATTGGTCTGGGGTTGCTGTGGTAATTTGTGTTGTGTTGAGGCTCAGGAGGCGATCCGTCAGTTCCACGTGAAGGACAGAGTGACGAGACAGGAGTACTTCTACCTGAACCTGCTTGAACCAGAGGAGGCTGGCACACCTGGAGACCCATCAGGTAGAAGAGCCTCCCCCTCTGTCAGGTGGGACCCAGACCATCAAACTAAAGACTGTCTCTGTTGCAGGTGCAGGAATCAGTGAACCAACCACCCCAGTAAGTAGACCGGACTCTGAGATTATAGATTACCTGGGATTCGACCCAAAATGGTGGCGACTTTGGTGGGAATTCATCCCTCAGTTTGCAGGTTCGATTCCCTCTTTGTCCGCCTTTGACATTGGGCACCCTCCTTGTCAGCTGGTGGTGATAGAGGGCCCAGCAGGGTGCATGGCAGCCTGGCTTCTGTCAGACTGGCTCAGAACAGCTGTGGCTACTATCCAGTAACTCAGCACCATCAGAGGCTGAATGACTGGATGTAGAGTGAAGCTTTGGAGTCTTCTGGACTTGATAAAGCTCTGCACAGGTATAAGACATTCACAAGAATCCGGAGAAGGTCACTAGGGAGGGAGGTGTCAGGGTTTCCCTGCTGGGCCTGTGGTCCCCACAGCCCACCCTCAGAGGAAGCCATCCAGAAGGAATGGTTCTGGTTTTACATCTGGTTCTAGGTCTCAATAACATCTGATGTCAACAGCTGCAGGTTGTGGTTCTGGAGGGTAAACTGGACCTCATCATGAATCCTGTCTTTCTCAAACTCATTGAGATCAAATGGAAACTGTATGGCAGGTGAGCTCTTTCCGATAGACTGACTGGTTAACCTGGATCAATGCTCTCTCTCATTGGCTGATGGGTGTGACATCATGACTCTCTGCTTGTGGCAGATTGGGGGCATGGCTTCTCCTTGTCCTCAACTTCCTGCTCAATGTTTGTTGGACGACTGTGGCCATTTCTATGTCTGCCTGCCAAGACTCACCTGATCGCTACACCTTTCCACAGGTGAGCCGTCTGTGCCGACCGCCTGTCTGAGTCTCACCTGTGTGGCGCTAAGTGGTCTCACCTATCTGTCTAGGACTGGTGGCGTGTTCTGCTGGTGGTGCTGGCGCTCCTGCTGACCCTGGAGGAGGTGTTCAGGGAGATCCAGGACATTGTGTTGTCGAGGAGGAAGCTCCACCTGCGACGAAGGTGGATGGAGCGGCGTTTCCAGGACGACCTGCGCTGCTCACATCCCATGTGGCCTCAGGTAGGAGACGTGATGTCACTCTGAATCCACAGGTTGATCACAGGAAGAAGTTGTTCTAAGTGGAGCGGTCCTGGCTCCGTGGCGTCTGTGTTTCAGGAGAGACAGTATCTTCTGAATCAGACTAGGAGGATCCAGAGAATGAGGGGCAACTACAGCCGGGACTGCTGGTACCAACACACACACACACACACACACACACACCTGGTTTCTCTCAGTAGGATTGATTCAGGTGTTCCTACCTGCTCTCAGGAACATCTTTGATTGGCTGGTCTACTCTCTGCTGACGGCTTCCTTCTGCGCTCACTTGGCCGACGTGTTGCAGCCATCCGTCCTCCTGCACACACTCAGTCTGCGCCTCTTCTCCATTTCCATCATCTTCCTCTGGCTGCGACTCATGAAGCATGTCCGAGCCTTCAGGTACAAAGCTCTAACTCAGTGTTTCTCATCCTGGTCCTCAGGCCCCCTGTCCTCCATGTTTCAGGTGTTTCCCTTCTGCCACCTGGATTGTATCTCTGGGTGATTAACAGGTTTCTGCAGTACCTGCTGGTCCTGCAGTCATTTGGATCAGCTGTTCTGGAACAGAGGCTCATCTAGAACATGCAGAGCAGGGGGCTGAGGACCAGGGTGGAGAAACGCTGGTCTAATTGGAAGACCGGCTTCAGAACCATTCTGTCTGGGATCAGTTCTACAGTTCTCCTTCCTCATGTTGAAGTCTTCCAGCAAGCCACCAGCATCTGCAGCTCCAGTTGAAGCCATGGTGGATGGAGGTACAAGGTTCAAGAAAACAAGCTAGTCCAGTTAGCCACCACCGAGTGAACCGTTAGGGTCCAGTTATCCACTGCCTTCTGAACCAGTTAACCAGTTCTGGTGTCCTGAACATCCAGATGAGTGGATCCTTCCAAGGTTTCTGAGGAACTTGCTGAGGAGGTTTTAGAGCCATCTAAATCAGGTAGACTGGTGTCTATCACATGCAGGACACCCAAACTGCCCCAGGACTGTCCCAGAACAGCGTCCATATTGGTTCTGCTTGGTCTGTCTCCAGGGTTGGTCCAGACTGTCAGATGAAGCATGTTTAATGTGCAGCACAGTTGATGCTGAGCCGTGCTGCTCTGCAGGTTAATGGGGCCCTTCATCGTCATGCTGGGGAACATCGTCGGGGATGTGATGCACTTCCTGTTCCTGTATGCTGAGATCTTCATCCCCTACGCCTGCAGCTTCTGGATCATATTTGGAGGTCAGAACATCAGCGGGTCTGTCTTTGTGAAGGTCTGAGTTCAGCTCTGCTGTGACAGAAACTGTGTTGTGTTCTCAGGAACGCCCTCCGTTCCCAGCATGCAGTCTGTCTCAGGTCTACTCTACAGCCTTTACAGGATCACTCTGGTGGACGAGTACGAGTACGCTGCCATGGTAACTGTGGACAACATCATGGCTCCTCTGCTGTGTGGAACATTCCTGGCAGCGTCCTCCATCTTATGTGTCAACCTGCTGATTGCACTACTATCTGACACCTTCCAGAGGTCAGAGGTCACACCTGGACTGGTCTCAACCTACGGACTATAACCTAAATGACCTGAAACGACATTTAAACCAACACCATAAAAGCTATTGACTGACTTCTATTAATTGATTGATTGATTGATTAATTCGTTGGTTGATTTGTTTATTGGTGGTTTCAGGGTGCATGATAACTCCCAGGCTAACGCTGTGATGCAGCAGGCCGCTGTCATCCTGCAGGTGGAAGACTCCATGCCCCGCCTCCATCGTTTCTGTGACAACCAGTACATCTCCAAGCACTGCTCTCCACTGGGCGAGGCCTGCGATGACCTTTCAATAAGCTCCTGTTACCACCATGAGTTTGGACACGTCACAGGACAGGTTAGGGTGGGTATCCGTACATTTCCTACATCATGACCCTCCTTCCTAGGACATGATGGGATGGCTTGTCCTGCAGGAGACTCCGGACCAGTTCCTGGTTCTTCAGAGGGACGTGGAGACAGCCTGCAGTTCAAGGTGAGAACGCCAGGACACACAGAACAGGTCAGTGCTAAACTAAGCAGCAAGTCTGACCTCCAGTCTCTCTGGCAGATTCCCAACAGAACAACACCTGCAGAACCAAGTGCTTCAGGTCCAGGAGAACCATGAGCTTCAAGTCCTCCCCATCCAAGAGTCTCAGACACCTCAGGAACAGAAGCTTCAAGGACCAAAAAAACACCGCAACCAGGGCCAGGAGAGCCTAGAGAGACAGAATCAGCAGGTCCAGGATCCCAAGAACCTGCAACAGGAGCTCCAGGCCATTCAGACAGAGCTGAAGGAGCTTCGATCTCTGGTCCAGCAGCTGCTCCAGATCAGGAATGACTTTGTTTGAAGAGACTAAGATCATTTGATACCAGCTTGAACCTGGTATCTAGTCTATGACCTGAGGAGATATTTATGGACTTCCTGATGAACCACAAAGGTCCATGTGGACTTACTGGCTCAAATGTTCTTGATTTCAAATGACCAATAAAGACAGAATGAAGAAAATACCACATAATGAAGCATGTTTTGAAGTTTGACTTATGAGGTAATGCTTCAGGCACGGCCACCATGACATCAATGGCCTTCAGCTGCTCTGGTGTTTCTCCTGAAATATGTTCAGCAGCCATCTGAGAGCACAACAGCTTCTAAATGTCCCATGATGCACCACACCTGCCTGCAGGAAACACCTGGAGATCATATAGGAAGGTGGAGAAGTCCAGTCCAGAAGGCTGTGGTTCTGGTCCGGTTCCAGTCCGGAAGGCTGTGGTTCTGGTCCGGTTCCAGTCCGGAAGGCTGTGGTTCTGGTCCGGTTCCAGTCCGGAAGGCTGTGGTTCTGGTCCGGTTCCAGTCCGGAAGGCTGTGGTTCTGGTGTTCTGATTATTTATTTTTGGAACATTTAGTCAGTAAGTGCCTTAATTTATGTCATAAAAACACTTCGTCAGTTTCTTTGTTTTTATAAAACCAATCAATCAATAAATCAACAAATGAGCCACGCCCCATTTGACATAAGCCCCGCCTTAATGTGGCCAAATTTGGCCGACGTCCCTCCCCCACCGTAACAGTTTCCGCTTCCGGATGTTTTCGAGCAGAGAGAAGGAGCCAAGATGGCGGAGCCTTCCAGAGATCCTCCGTCCGCTCTGAGCGCCGACTTCATGAGCTTCTCCCCCGGAGACACCGCCTCGGTGAGTGGCTCCGGAGGCTGCGGGTCCGGCCGGCGCGGTCCGTCCTGCGGGGCGGCCCGCCGGACCCAGGCCGCCTCTGAGGCTCCTGTTTCGGCTTAATCTCCTCGAAGCTAACGGCGCTAGCGCCGCTTCTCCTGGAGGAACACCTGTAGTCACACCTGGCGGCTGTCAGCTCCAGGTGTTCTTCCCGGGAGCAGCGGCGGGGCGTCTTACTCTCATTCAGGGTTCTGGGTCGGTTCTGGCGGGTTGTGGGTCGTTGGACAGCTGGTGACGTCACGCACAGGTTAACGAACATGATCAGGTGTGCCCCATTTCACCTGTGGACCAGATGACAGTTGCCATGGAAACGGCTGATGATGACGGCGAGCTGCGTGGCTGTGGACGCCTTCCTGTAGACACCCGCAGGGTGCCGGGGGTCGCTGGTTCGATTTCCAGGTTGGGGCTCTGGGTGTGGAGCAGTCCTTGAGGTGGACCCAGGTCAAAGGTCAGGTCAGGCGGTCACCTGCGGTCAGGTCGGACCCCCTGACCTTGGCGACCACCCTGGGGTCTCAGATGGAGGTTGCAGGTTTGAAGTCGGCCGGTAATGACCTCAGAGCGGCTGGATCCGGGTCAGCATTGTGTAATCAGATTACTGCTGGAACACAGAACCGCATCTGGACTCTGACCCAGAGAAGAAGGTCCTGGAAGACACAGACAGAAGTAGGTTAATACCAGGACAGGGAGAGCGATTAGGTGATGGCAGCATCATGTCAGGCGCCTCCAGGAAGGAATCAGCCAATCAGAACACGGAGCAGGTGGAGCTGCCATGGAGAGAAAATAACAGGAAACGAAAAGTTAAAATGACAGCAAACGGTTCTACTGCTGGACCCAACAGAACCAGTTTGTCCTCCAGATTATAATTACTGATTGATTATTGATTACATCCTGGATTGTAATCTGAATTAACAGGGAGCCGATGAGGGGAATCTGGATGTGTTTTCCATCAGAACTGTTTTTGTTCTGGATCAGCTGCAGGTTTTATCCTGTTCTTCCTGGCAGTAACCTGATTGGTTACTGGTGCTGACCTCTGACCTTCCTCCTCCTCAGCGCTGGCTGGCGTGTGCTGACCTGCAGCAGGAGGTGTACTGCCACCTGGCTGAGTACGTGCCCCGCATCCTGTGCCAGGGGGGCGGCATGGCAGAGCATCGGGAGGAGCAGCGGGAGGAGCAGCGGGAGGAGCTGGCCCTCCAGCTGCTGCTCCTTGCCCCCCTGGAGTGGTTCCTGCTGGGGGGGGAGCCGGCGGCCGGCCTGGCGCTGCTGCAGCAGGGCGGGGGGTCGGCGGCGCTCTGTGGGCATGTCTTCAAGGTGGGGGAGCCCACCTACTCCTGCAGGTAAGTCACCTGGAGGGGGGCACTTCCTCTCACCTGTTCATGATGAAACTATCAATAATTTCCATTGGCATGATTTATCAGTTCTTTATTTGTATCAAAACTGGATGATAAATGTCATTTCATCATTCACTTTGTTTTGTTTAGTTACTTTGGATATTTAAAATGTCTTCCAGTTCAGTGTTAAATGTTCATCAAAATTTAAATTCAGGAATGTGTTCCTGCATTACTATGCTATTACCATTGTGTTGAAAACAGCAATATTATCGTTTATCACAATAACTTCTGGAACAATTTATCGTTCACCTAAATCTGGCCTTCTCTGATAATGCATTCCTCTATTTCTGTGATGCAGGAACAGGAGAAGGTTGTTACCCGGTGAAACTAGCTGCTAACGTTGCTAATGCTGCTAACTGAACACACTAACAGGGAAACACTGCAAACACAGGAAACGGCAGATAAAGAATAAATTATGCAAATAGCCAAAACAGCAAGTATAAAACTGCTACCTGGTTCCACAGCCGGAAGTCCTCCAGTCCACTAGGGGGAGTCTGGAGTCGCCAAGATCAACAACGTAAATATGTTGCTGTACTGTAATGTTGATGTGAAGCAGCTTTTCTGCCTTCCTCCAACTTTCTTTGCACATCCTGTCTGTCCCGATCTGCTGGTCGACTCCCTCTCCTGGCCTGGTGGATTTCTTTGCTATGGATCCAGTTTATATTTAAACCTGAATTATAAAAAAAATATTTTTTACATTGTTGTAGAAATTTTTCTTTAACAAAGTGAGGGAAAACTGTTTCAAAACCCAAAGAACCAGAGAGAATATATTCTAATCGGTATTTATTCGAAGTCTCTGCTGACTGATCAGTCAGGAGAAACAGCCTGGAGCCGAACACAGTTACAGTTTATAGGGAGAGTTTCATTCATTCAGAGTTTGATAGTCTACTTGGTCACAGACGGCACACGGATCTTCTTCACTAGGAGTCAAGAGAGACGAAGGAACGAGTCAATGACTTCACTGTAACCCTAACTGCCTTCAGAACCTTTTTCATGATCTCATGCTTCACACAAGAATCATAATACTGTTGATTCAGTTAATAATCAGAGTAACCTTAAAATTTCCACTACAACATCTTTGTTGAATCTGTCACCATGACTTGATAATATGGTATGAAAAAATCAAGCACCTTTTCCCAGTGCTAACTAGAAGCAACCAATCAGAGCCAGGAGGCGGGTCTTAGTTGCTGTCAGTCACACTCGCGCGTATGTGCTGCTTATCTCTCCTTTGATGACAGCAGCACCTCTCATAAATGCTAGGCTAGTTAGCATAGCCACTGATGACTGCAGATAAACGGTTGTTTCTCTGCCATTAGCACATTTAACTGAGCATACATGAGATTGATTGACAGCATTAAGGCCCGCCTCCTGGCTCTGATTGGTTGTTTTTGGTGCATTTGTTCAGACGGCCACAGCAGCTCAGGTTGAAGATGGAGGAGATCGATCTTTTCAAACTAACAACATGGTGAGATATGTAAAAAACCAGATGCTTACTAAAAGTTACAAACTGCAGATATCAGGTGGTTGTTTCATTTTCCCTTTAGCTTCTGTTTCCTGCGTTGGCAGCATTTTCTGTGGAGTTAGCATGGTTCATGCGCCAGCAGCTAGTTTCACCGTTAGCTTTGTGCTTGAACCTGTGGGCCACCGTAGCATTGAGGCAGGAACCTCAACCTCACAGACCTGGAACCTTAAAACACCGTAAGATAACTGGGAATGAGAATAACAATGAGGATCAGGAGGGTCCAGTAGGGTCCGGTAGGGTCCTACCTGTCTGCATTCTTTCTGGTGTTGGGACCAATCAGGAGTCTTTCAGACCCGGTTCTGTGTTTCTCTGGAAGTTGGGTCGAGGTTCTGTTCTCAGAGATTCTGGTCCACTAGCTGTGAACCGGTTATTCAGATTGGTTCTGGAACAGGATGGCAGTAAAGCCAGTGTTCAGGGATCAGAACCGGGGCGAGGTTCTGACCCGTTCTGACCCGGTGTGTTCTCAGGGAGTGTGCGGCCGACCCGACCTGTGTTCTGTGCATGCAGTGCTTCCTGGCCAGCGCCCACCGCCACCATCGCTACCGGGTGAGTCCATTCAGAACCAGAACCATTAGAACTCGGCTGACCGGACCTCTCTGTCCCCCAGATGACCACGTCAGGAGGCGGAGGCTTCTGTGACTGTGGAGACGCCGAGGCCTGGAAGACCGGTCCGTCCTGCCAGAACCACACGCCTGCCGACCAGAACCGGGAGACCGAGGAGGTGAGACCGCTGCTGGCCTGGTTCTGACCGGCCATCAGTTCTGACCCGCCCGGGCTCAGAATCACAGCGTGTTCCTGCTGCCTGGGTTCCAGGACCCGGTCTCTCTGCTGCCCCCTGCTGTGGAGGAAAGGAGCTGCAGCATCTTCTCCATCATCCTGCAGTACGCCGTCGACCTGCTGACCTGGGAGCAGGAGGACCAGCTGCCTGCAGGCCTGGAGCCGCCGTAGGTCCCGACCAGGTCAAACTGGGTCACAGTGGTTCGAACTGGGCCAGACTGGTCCAGACTGGGCCGAACCTGAGCTGCTGCTGCTCCCAGGATGGATCAGTCTGGAACAGTTTTTAATGCTGAGATGCTAATCATGTTAAGCTACTAATTCAGAAACGACTGCTAACTGCGAACCAGGTTCAGCTAGCTAACCCTGTGGGGGGAACTATTAGCTGCTTGGCTAACAGCTAGCCTCTAAACCAGGGGTGCCCAAACTTTTTGAAACCAACATCTGCATTTTCTGCCACCAGCCTGAGATCTTCCTCATGACACAAAGATATAAAACTCGTAAATTAAACTCTGTTGACTTATTTTATATGCAAATATCCATCAGTTACAGCAGAAATATTAAAGTGACAACCTGATCCAGTTTCTTCCTCAGTGAGATTCTGACACTGGGAGTAGCTTACTGGTTTCTCAGTCATAAGCTGGTTGTAAACCAGCAGGTGTCAGTCAGTCATGGTAGATCTGAACTTTGACCACAATATGAGAAACTTCATCCTGACAGGAGGAACCTCAGAGCTCTGTTAGGTTAAAGCTCATCTTCTGAAGTTGGGATGTTTTTCCTCCAGCAGGATCCAGAGGAATCACCTCAAAGCAGATGTTGGACTGGATTTTATTTCAATGTCATTTGTGAATGTTAGAGCCTCATTTTCAGCAGTGGAGCTTTAAGGTTGGAAAAGGTTTTAATTTTGGAGAAAATCTCATCAACATCAATATTTCCATTAAATAAGAGGCAAAAAAAAAAAGTTTGATGGAGGAAAATCCTCTCAGACTCTGAGCTCAAAGCGAGATGCCAGAGAGCAGCAAACTAGTTTTAAATATTAGACAATTAACCTTAATTGTATTAATTTCATATCATTATTGCAGTAGGAGCCATTTATTTGTTAAATACTAAATGAACTAAGTTTGTCCTATGTGATGTTTGTTGTGACGTAAACTCAGACGAACGAGGTCGTTAGTCCAAGGTTGTTGTTTATTGAAAGTTCAGAAACTACAGCGGCTGAACAGGTGATCAGCTCTGAACCATGAGGACCTTTATACTTTTTGTCACACCCGTTGCCGTGGCAACCACAAGCCGAGCAGAGATTACGTCAAAAACATAACGTTCATTCCGTTACGATATCAGGTTTTTATTTAGTGATTATTAATCACTGGTGAGCTCTGATGGTCAGTCGATCTTTGAGTCATTTTTTATGTAGTGCAACCGAAACGCTCAGAATCGCACACCTCCTCGTTGAAACGGTAATTACTAGTCAATAATTGAACACGCCTTGTTGATTTTTTAAATTCTGTATTAACAAACGTTTTGGATCTTAGTGAATATTTTGATAAGCACGTCAGAAGAGGACCAGCTGGCTGCTGGGAGTTGGGTCAGGGGAGAGAAGGTTTGCAGTGCATTGTGGGATTGCTAGCTGTACCAGCCTCCTGTAGTCAGGCACAGCTCTGTCGATACCTGCTTCATAAATAAGGTTAGCTTTAGCAGCAGCAGAGTGGCGCGTTGCTATTCTGAGTGTCTCTGTCTGCCCCTCCTGCCCCCTCCTGCCCCCCTCCAGGCAGCGGAGCGACAGCTACTACTGCATGCTGTTTAATGATGAAGTCCACACCTATGAGCAGGTCATCTACACGCTGCAGAAAGCCGTCAACTGCAGCCAGAAGGAAGCCGTCAGCTTCGCCACCACCGTGGACAGAGACGTCAGTACAACACCTGGACTAGTTCTGGTCCGGGCCCAGAACCGGGTCCGGGTTTAGATCCAAATGGGTCTCGTAGGTCAGCGTGACCTCTGATTGTGACCCTCTCTGTCTCTGCAGGGCAGGAAGTCAGTCCGGTTCGGGGATCATCAGTTCTGTGAACAGGCGAAGGCGGTCATCGTGGTGAGCTGCAGACAGCTGTGTGGGCGGAGCCAGAGTTTGTCCCTTACCTCTGACCCCTGACCTCTGCCCCTCAGAGGAGCACCAGCCGGCAGTCCAAGCCCCTGCGGGTCCAGGTGATGCACTCGGCGCTGGTGGCTCATCAGTGCTTCGCTCTGAAGGCTCTCGGCTGGCTGGGCCAGATCATCCAGTACTCTGGTACGTCTCAGCCTCGTTACCCATGATGCCCCGGGACGTCATGTAGCGTTACCCACGATGCCGCGGGGCGTAGCGTAGCATTACCCATGATGCCTCAGGGCGTCGTGTAGCGTTACCCACGAGCCCCGGGGCATAGCGTAGCATTACCCATGATGCCCCGGGACGTCATGTAGCGTTACCCATGATGCCTCCGGGCGTCGTGTAGCGTTACCCACGATGCCGCAGGGTTTAGCGTTACCCACGATGCCGCGGGGTTTAGCGTTACCCACGATGCCGCGGGGCGTAGCGTAGCATTACCCACGATGCCCCGGGGCGTCGCGTACCGTAGCGTTACCCACGATGCCCCGGGGCGTCGCGTACCGTAGCGTTACCCACGATGCCCCGGGACGTCGTGTAGCGTTACCCACGATGCCGCAGGGTTTAGCGTTACCCACGATGCCGCGGGGTTTAGCGTTACCCACGACGCCCTGGGGCGTACCGTAGCGTTACCCACGACGCCCTGGGGCGTACCGTAGCGTTACCCACGACGCCCTGGGGCGTACCGTAGCGTTACCCACGACGCCCCGGGGCGTCGCGTAGCGTTACCCACGATGCCCCGGGGCGTCGCGTACCGTAGCGTTACCCACGATGCCCCGGGGCGTCGCGTACCGTAGCGTTACCCACGATGCCCCGGGGCGTCGCGTACCGTAGCGTTACCCACGATGCCCCGGGGCGTCGCGTAGCGTTACCCACGATGCCCCGGGGCGTCGCGTAGCGTTACCCACGATGCCCCGGGGCGTCGCGTAGCGTTACCCACGATGCCCCGGGGCGTCGCGTACCGTAGCGTTACCCACGATGCCCTGGGGCGCGGCTCTGCTCACTGTGGCTCTTGCAGACGGCCTGAGGAGGATCCTGTGCCAGGTGGGGCTGCGACCTGGTCCAGAGGGCGAGAACTCCTCACTGGTGGACCGCCTGATGCTGAACGACTCCAAGATGTGGAAAGGTCAGAGTTCACAGGCAGGGGTGGGCGCCGGACCTGGCGGGTTCTGATGGTTCTGACTGTGTCCAGGAGCCCGGAATGTTTACCACCAGCTGCTCATGAACAGCCTGCTGATGGACCGCAAGTTCAAGAAGCTGTTCGCCATCCGGTTTGCCAAGGTAACCGGACCCGATGGACCAGACAGACTTGACCACATGCAGAACCCACCTGACCTGACCCAATCTGAACCGGACTGCAAGCAGAACTGGTCCGGTCCAGTTGTTAGAACCAGGGCACAATTCATCTGTGCCTGAGTTGAGAAACGGGTCCAGAACCGGGTCCAGGTTTAGATCCAGACCAGTCTCATAGGTCAGTGTGACCTCTGGTTCTGACCCGGTTCTGGTTCTGATCACCATTGAACTGAACCAGTAGAACCGGTTCGTGCTGCAGGTCAGAGGTCAGCAGATCCAACTGATGGCAGCCACACTCTGATTGGCTCCCTGGTAACAGCAGAATGTGTTGGGGGCTGACCTCTGACCCAGAGGTGACCTGTCCCCCTGTAGAACTACAGACGGCTGCAGACAGATTTCATGGAGGACGACCACGACCGCTTGGTGTCGGTGACGGCGCTGTCGGTGCAGCTGTTCACTGTGCCGACCCTGGTGAGTAGCTCTTCTTCTTCTGCTGCCCCAACACCGCTCTCTCTCTGTCCCCTCCGACCCCTGACCCCCAACCCCAGAACTATGAGCGCTTGCAGAGCGACTTCATCAGAGACGACCACGACCGGCAGTTCTCAATCACCGACCTGTCGGTGCAGATCTTCACTGTTCCCTCGCTGGTGAGTTCCTGGTTCCCTGGCGGTACTGACCCAGTTCTGCTGAGCTGAGCTGAGGTGGGTTCTGGTCCAACACCACCAGGAGGGCAAGGTCAGAGGTCAACTGTTCATCTAGAAACTGACTGGAAGACTGGAGGAATGCAGTCTGGACTGGAACCAGTTCACGGTCTGAACCGGCTCACTGGCGCCCTCTAGTGGCCATGTTTAAAATTAAGTCTACATCTGATTAAACTTATTAAATAAGTTCACTAAGCAAACGACAGAACTTTACTTTGAGGAAACGATGTTTATTAGTGGTGACTGAATGAGAAATCAATAGCTTTTGAGGATAATTGATTATCTATTTGCAGTGATCAATAAATTAATAATGTAAAGCATGAAGGCTTCAGAGATCTGTAGCCTTTAGCCACAGTTGGCTTAGCTACCGTTAGCGTTAAGGAAACAGGAAGTTCCTGTTCCAGGAAGCTGCTCCTTTAGCTCCAGAGAGCCGGCTTAGGCGTAGAGAGTCTCAGAGGCAGGAGGCGGAGCCTATGCTCACCTGTTCTCACCTGTTGGAGTGCACCCACTGCTGGCATCAGGAAGTGGGCCGGTTCAGGAGTGGCTGTGTGTACCTGCAGGCCCGGATGCTGATGGTGGAGGAGAACCTGATGATGACCATCATCAGAACCTTTGTGGATCAGCTTCGCCACCGCGACGCTCAGGGACGCTTCCAGTTCGACCGCTACACCGCCCAGCAAGCCTTCAAGTTCGGCCGGGTCCAGAGCCTCATCGGAGACCTGAAGTAAGGCCCGGTCCGGCCCGGTACCTGGTATTCCCCCCCACCCAGGCCCTTCACCAGGTGCGCTGTGTCTGCAGGTACGTCCTGATCTCCCCGCCCCCACAGTGGAGCCAGCAGCTCAGAACCAAGTTCCTGGACGGCTTCGAAACCTTCCTGGACCTGCTCAGGTGCATGCAGGTAAGCTGCAGCCAGGAGGAGGAGCTTCAGGTGGGGCACACCCCTCACTGCACCTGCGTGTCCCTGCAGGGCATGGACCCGGTGGTGAGACAGGTGGGCCAACACATCGAGATGGAGCCGGAGTGGGAGGCGGCCTTCACCCTGCAGATGAAGCTGACGCACATCATCACCATGATGCAGGAGTGGTGCAGCACTGACGTGAGCCACAGCATGTAGCATGTAGCCGTAGCCTGTAGCATGGTGAGCCGCAGCCTGTAGCATGTAGCCGTAGCATGTAGCATGGTGCAGCACTGACGTGAGCCACAGCATGTAGCATGTAGCCGTAGCCTGTAGCATGGTGAGCCGCAGCCTGTAGCATGT